ACTACCAGGTGGGGTAAGATATCTGTATAGATACTACCAGGTGGGGTAAGATAGTATATGTATAGATACTACCAGGTGGGGTAAGATAGTATATGTATAGATACTACCAGGTGGGGTAAGATATCTGTAGAGATACTACCAGGTGGGGTAAGATATCTGTAGAGATACTACCAGGTGGGGTAAGATATCTGTAGAGATACTACCAGCTGGGGTAAGAGATAGAAGTAAAGTTATTTATAGACGTACAATATACAGTTATAGACATACAGGTATAGACACGTTGCACAATGGTATGAAATTTAGATGAATACTGCTCATTTGAAAAGGGATTGCTATAAATACTGTTTACCTTAACAAGTTATCCACTGTAGTAAGATATCCTTTCACTCATTGTTCACATTATAAAGAAGAGCTGTGAATATTTGTAACATTATTGTGAGGTATTGTATAATTGTCATCCATGTTGTAAGATATTGTTATCAATATCTGTATTGTTATAAATGTTGTTAAAGTTGTGATAATGAATTTGTAGCATTTATGTTTGGTTCTTTTGATTTAATTGATTTCTGAATAATCTAATTAAATGGGTTATTGATATATGTGAACCTGTTAAAATAATACCTTACATCTGATATTACCTTTATTAAGTCAATATGTAAACCCTGTCTTCACAAGAATAAACAATAACTAAACTTAGTATGTAACAAGAACCTTCTGAACAGTATTATCGTATTGGTTTTGCTCTCATATTTTTAGGCTGAACACCAGGTGTTTCCAGGATCAGTGCCTGCCTTCCATCTTGTGCAAGTTCAAGTCCAGAGTCTTCCTAATACCCTAGAAGAACTGATATTAGAAGTGATTGACAGCAATGTTTCAACAGTCATGGAATCTTGGACAGTCAACAGAGTCAATATTATGGTTGTTGGAAAGATTATTGGTCAGTTATCTTCACGTAATGACAGTCATGAACAAGTCATAAATAACTATTAATATTGTTAGTGGTGGTAGAAAGTGTTAGTGTCTCATAAACCATAATTATAAGGTATAAAGTTGAGGTAACTTCACTGACCCATGCTGGTTTAATGATCATTTAACTGCTTTGGTCAATATTTTAAATAGAATCCACGGATAATGTTAAGTGACCTGACAAGATATATTTTTTTCTTTAGGCTCTAATCACTACAACGTACAAAGTGATGGCCAGTCATCTCGGAATCGATTCTCTGTTGGCCGAGATAAATCCCAGCCTGTTCTTCCTCACCAGTCGCAGCTTACCACCACTGCATATCCTCTGGCCTCATGGAATCATAAAATGTGGAACAGAAATGGTGGATCAGCCAATTTTAATGGTATAAAGATTTAATTCAATCATGTACATGGTTGATCAGCCATTTTTAATGGTAGAAAGATTTAATTCAATTATGTACATGGTTAATCAGCCATTTTTAATGGTAGAAAGATTTAATTCAATCATGTACATGGTTGATCAGCCATTTTTAATGGTAGAAAGATTTAATTCAATCATGTACATGGTTGATCAGCCATTTTTAATGGTAGAAAGATTTAATTCAATCATGTACATGGTTGATCAGCCATTTTTAATGGTAGAAAGATTTAATTCAGTCGTGTATATGGTTGATCAGCCATTTTAATGGTAGAAAGATTTAATTCAGTCGTGTAATGGTTGATCAGCCATTTTAATGGTAGAAAGATTTAATTCAGTCGTGTACATGGTTGATCAGCCATTTTAATGGTAGAAAGATTTAATTCAATCATGTACATGGTGGATCAGCCATTTAATGGTAGAAAGATTTAATTCAATCGTGTATATGATGGATTAGCCATTTAATACTAGAAAGATTTAATTCAATCATGTACATGGTTGAGGTAGAAAGATTTAATTCAATCGTGTACATGGTTGATCAGCCATTTTTAATGGTAGAAAGATTTAATTCAATCGTGTATATGGTTGATCAGCCATTTTTAATGGTAGAAAGATTTAATTCAATCATGTACATGGTTGATCAGCCATTTTTAATGATAGAAAGATGTAATTCAATCGTGTACATGGTTGATCAGCCATTTTTAATGGTAGAAAGATTTAATTCAATCGTGTATATGGTGGATCAGCCATTTTTAATGCTAGAAAGATTTAATTCAATTATGTACATAATTTTGATTAATTAGTTACAGAAAACACTGATATTACTTTTTAGTGGGATTTAACAGTAAAATACTGTGGTCATTGTGAGTGTCCACCACTCAAAGTAGCCCCTTAATCTGAGAAGGATTAAACCTAATAAGTACTTTAGGAGAGGAGCTGTGTCCTTTGCATCTGAAAACATAGCGGTGATCTTTCTCGGAAAGTTTGTGAGTGATGGCTCTATTCTCTACATCAGCTACAGTGTTGTTGCAAATGAAAAACTATTTGAACAAGAGAAGCTATCGTAGGGCAGGGCTCTTCAACTGTTTCTATGAAGGGGCAGTTCTTTGGCTTGAGTTACTAGAGCATTTGTTAAGTCCCCTCAGTGACTTGCTAATACGCCTGTCCTGGGTTCTCGACTGGTAATTTGTACCATCCCTGTGTCTCTGGCTCCCATATGATTACAATTGGAATAAAATTAGAGATAGGCAAGCCAGAAGTATTTTACTTTGTACAATTTAAACAACTTAATAAATATTATCTAAAATATGGTGAGAACACTGAAAGAAATGGTGTAATGTGTACGTTGCTCTGTGAGATACAAAAATAAGACACAAATTGATCTGTGGTATTACAGTTTTTTTCATATATATTTTAGTTAATTTTTGTAATCTTTAGCTGACGTGCAGTGGGGGCTATTTGGTCATCCCTGTGGGCCGGAAGTGCCCTGCAAGTCGTTAGTTGAAGAGCCCTGTTTTAGGGTTCTAAAAACGGGAAAGGTGAATGATAGTGTAAAGTTCTTTAAGTTGGCGTTATGCCTATGGATAATTATATACTTGATCAGTATCGTGAATTACTAGTCGGTTGTATTATTAACATGATTAATGGCCCTCTCGTGTAGTAGGCTGATTATTTGATCAAAATCTTGTTCTCAAGGTATGAGGAGCTAAAATAAGCTGTTACTTGTGATTGTATCAGTGTGTTTTAAGGAGTAAAGATATTCGTGAAACTTGATTTGATATTGCATGGAAAATAATGATGAAACTGTTATAATTTTGATAGTAAAGATATCAATGAATCTTGTTTAGAATTTATGAAACAGACAATGTTGACAGAACTGGTGTGATGTGAATAGTAAAGGTATTAGGAAATCTTGTTTAGAATTTTTGAAACGGGAACTATTGATGGAACTGGTGTGATGTGAATAGAAAAGGTATTAGGAAATCTTGTTTTGAACTTTTGGCACAGGAGATGTTGGTGAAAACCTTGCTTTGGAGTTAGAGAGTTTGATGAGTTTGGAGTGCAGAAAGAATAAGGTAAAAGTAACCTTCCCCAAATCTTCGTCTGTGGAAATTGCTACTAAGTTAAATGGAGCCAACATTGGCTGGCTGGAAGTTACATTAAAGGATCAGGAATGTAAAGCTAGAAGTAATAACACCCATTACATCCTGGAGACCCACCTGAACAGCTGCGGGTCCAGCATGGTTCCTGATGGGTGGAGATATTACTTTAAGAACCAGGTATGTTGACAAGAATGATGTATTTTTTATTAATATTCAGTAACATTTAAATCTTTCACAAAAATCGATATTTAGGATTTTTTGCTTTAATATTTACTTTTAAATTAAGAAATTAACTAATGTATAATACTAACATTTGAATTATAGTCTACAATTTGATAACAAACTTATTGACATACATTCATAAAATAGTAGTTCAATAAAAGTTTGAATGCGAGTCAACAAATGCGATGACGTGACCTGTGACCCGTGTCAATAGGGTCAATGAAAGCAGACTTAGAGCAACAGTTGTTATTAATATTATTTGTTATACTGAAATGGGTTTTAGCCTTATGTTTTTGTTGCATAAGTATCATTTTGTTGTAATATGGAATATCATTGGTTAATGATTTAATAAGGATTAATTTTTTTTAAATATATCATGATTTGTATACCACTATCACATTTACAGTCAATCTTTTATTTTCTAAACAGAAAATTATTGGCATAGTCAGTGTTATTTATTTTAAAATGACACATTTAAAAAAAACAACATTATGTATTTATTACAGGTCTCATGACACGTTTAAAAAAAACAACATTATGTATTTATTACAGGTCTCATGACACGTTTAAAAAAAACAACATTATGTATTTATTACAGGTCTCATGACGTTTAAAAACAACATTATGTGTTTCTTACAGGTCTCATGACACGTTTAAAAAACAACATTATGTATTTCTTACAGGTCTCATGACACGTTTAAAAAAACAACATTATGTATTTATTACAGGTCTCATGACACGTTTAAAAAAACAACATTATGTATTTATTACAGGTCTTATGACACGTTTAAAAAACAACATTATGTGTTTCTTACAGGTCTTATGACACGTTTTAAAAAAACAACATTATGTGTTTCTTACAGGTCTTATTCTGGGCTCCCGTAAGACCAGAAGGGATTTCAGATAATCAAAAAGATGTGAGTAGTGAATTTGATGAAAGCTTTGCTGATGATGAAGACATGATCAGTTCAGAAGATGGATCAGGACTGGAACACCACCTTAAACAAGCTCTTGCAAATCAGCAAGGTATCACACAGTCACGACTTCTGTTCACCCAAAGTATCCAGTGTATTTATAATTTGACTGGTACTGGAAGCAGATCTGAAGAGGTTAGGTCTTTTTATGAACAAATCAGAGTGATATTAATGTTTGTGAAAGAGTATGCTTCGATAGAAAATGAAATATGATATCAAAGGTTTTCAAACAAAGCTACAAGCATTGTTGAAATCATTATGAAGGGCATGCAAATTGTATCACCAAACAATGTTAAATGTATTTCAAACGCCATATAACGTGAGCAATATTTTCTAATGTTTTAAGCATGATTTTTAACATGTGAATTAAAGCAATCAAGTAGACGCATGAAATACAAAAAAAAGTTACTTAAGTGTACAAAATAATATAATGCCAACGTTATATTTTTAATTATTGTATTTTACATTTTTTGCTATTTGAATTATTATTATTAAGTAATATAGGAAATAACTGGAGCCAATGCTCCAAATTCCCAAAATAGACAGTTTTTACATTTTGTCCTTTCAAAGTTCAAGTCATTCCAGGGGCCTAACTTCCTTGGACCTCTAAAATCTGAAATGTTGCTTCTGATGTAATGAGAATAATGTGGATGGTATTACTTTGATTTGCAGCAAAGTTGATGTTATTTAAAAATAATGATGATAAACCTTTAGAATATACAAAAATGAAGTGTTTCTTTAAATGTTATGGATGAGCTTGGTCTAACACGGATTTGCATTTCTAGGTGAACCACCCCCACGTGTTCCACATGCAGCTGTACAAAGACTCAAACTTTCGTAAAAAGCTACGTCTAGTAGACGGTTTGGTAGAGGTATTGTCTCGGGACAACTTGTATGTGAAGACTGCTATAGATGCAGGTTTGTTTTGATTGGTTATAAAATCATGATTGAGGAATTGGTTAGTTATAATTAACCTATGATCGATTATTAATTTTAATTATTGGGAGCAATGATATTTAATGATTGTGATGAATAATATTGAAAGTTTTATTAATTAGGGGACATCTTAATTAGTCTGGTAGTTACCACCATGATGTACATTTAATTAGTCTGGTAGTTACCACCATGACAGTATGATGTACATTTTTTCGAATATGGTATGTGAAATTATCAATTGTTTATACACATTGTTTACAGTTTGTGTGAAATTATAAATTGTTTATACACATTGTTCACAGATTGTGTGAAATTATCAATTGTTTATGCACATTGTTCACAGATTGTGTGAAATTATCAATTGATTATACACATTGTTCACAGTTTGTGTGTGAAATCATTAAGTGTTTATCCACAGGTCCTGACTTGTTTGTTGTAACTGATGAGTGCTGGTTGTCTCGGACAAACAATTCACTTGTAATGACTGACAACCGAGAAGTATTGATTCAACACAGGTAAGGATAGGAAGAACGTTTAGTAAAATCTGTTGGTCCTATTGTTGGATATTCATTGATATTTATGAGGAAAAACTCTGTGGTTTGTGGAAATGTTGAAATACGTTCATAACGTAGAAGTCAGTTATAATCACTGTTATAGTGATAAACAGAAATTGTAGGTAAATTTTCAATCATGCAAAGCAATTTTTGGTAAAAGTTAACTCATCAGACTTTTTTTTTCATGCATGCTACTATTTTTCTTAGTCTAGTGTATATGACTTTTAACCATGAAATCCCAGTTTTAAAAATTAAATAGTGTGTGTATATATATATATATTTATACAAAATCTTTAATAACAAAACTAAAGGCAGTTGTTATTTCTGCTGTTTAAAGAATATTAGTTGGAATGGATTCACTTTCTGTTGACCAGTCATAAGAACCAAGTTTGAAGTTGAGTTACACAATACAAAATATTTTTATTTGCGACAATAGTCTCAAGTTGATTGTACAAGCTATGATGTTTCAACACATCATCATCTTCAAGAGTCAGATGGTGCGTTGAAGCATGGATTCGATTTGAGATTGAATGTCAATTTCAAATAATGTGAATGTGATTAAAAAAGTTTATTTCTGCAAAATTTGTAAACTGGTTTTCAAACGGATACAAAAATATGACAGAGTAATAAAAGATAGAATATGTGAAATGTTATTTAAAAAAAATATTTCATGTTGACATTTTCACTAGATTCAGAACTTTAATGGAGAAGCATGTAATTAAATTGGTTCAAAGTTTATTTTCTTTCTTAAATCTTTTTTTTTTTTCTCTGATTGGTCGGTGGTAAATTTTGTAGAGCAGGAAACTTAAATCTTTTTTTTTTCCTTTCTCTGATTGGTCGGTGGTAATTTTTGTAGAATAGGAAACTTAAATCTTTTTTTTTCCTTTCTCTGATTGGTCGGTGGTAAATTTTGTAGAGTAGGAAAGTCTTTTTGTTAATTTTTATTCGAAACATTTGAGTTGTATACTTAGTTTAAGTTCAGTGGTAGTCTGAGTGGGTAGAGAACCACCTAAAGAGGGGGGGATTGGAGGCCAGAGGGATAGGGTGGCATGGAGAAGTGGGCTGGTAAAAGGAATGGTGGGGAGAATGACCCTTTCTCTGGAGAAAGGCATACGCATGGAATAGTGATCGGCGCTTCCTTTGCAGCAAATAAAAAATTTAGAATATAATGTAGAAACTTTGAATTTTTAAAAATTCTGAATACAACATTTTAGACTGATAAAATGCTGATGGTTATGACATAGTCAGAACTGTCTTGAAGTAGAACTAAGGAAAATAAAATTGATATATGTATGTGATATAGGGGGGGAGTCATCTTTCTCTGGCCATGTTTATATTTGTTGATCATTCAAATGAAGATAAGCAAACATTTAGTAGCCTTGATATTTACTTTATTTTATTTTGATTTTCTTAATTTTAGTTGCCCCAAGCATTTGAGTGTTGGTCTATTGGGTGTTGAACCTCATGGGTTACACAGTTCCAAAGGGTTGAATTACCAACAGGGGTTTTTCTTTCATTTCACCCAGAGGTGGGTTGGCCACAAAGTTTTTCTTCACTGCCGCCTTGCCGTCTGCTCCGAAAAAGCCAACAGTCCACTTAGTGGTGTGAAACAGGTGAGACTCTAATAAATGTTTTATTTTGTCTTGTTGAGACTCTAGTAAATGCTTTATTTTGTCTTGTTGAGACTGTAGTAAGTGTTTTATTTGTTTTGTTGAGACTGTAGTAAGTGTTTTATTTTGTCTTGTTGAGACTGTAGTAAATGTTTTATTTTGTCTTGTTGAGACTGTAGTAAATGTTTTATTTTGTCTTGTTGAGACTGTAGTAAATGTTTTATTTTGTCTTGTTGAGACTCTAGTAAGTGTTTTATTTTGTCTTGTTGAGACTGTAGTAAGTGTTTTATTTTGTCTTGTTGAGACTGTAGTAAGTGTTTTATTTTGTCTTGTTGAGACTGTAGTAAGTGTTTTATTTTGTCTTGTTGAGACTGTAGTAAGTGTTTTATTTTGTGTTGTTGAGACTGTAGTAAGTGTTTTATTTTGTGTTGTTGAGACTGTAGTAAGTGTTTTATTTTGTGTTGTTGAGACTGTAGTAAGTGTTTTATTTTGTCTTGTTGAGACTGTAGTAAGTGTTTTATTTTGTTTTGTTGAGATTCTAGTAAATGTTGCATCCTCACTTATTCATTGAATGCAGTAATAGTGTTTACAATAAACTGATGAGTTTCATGTGTTCTCTTAATACTACAGATACATTTCTCATGTTTGATTTATTGTTAAACCAAACTGGTTTTTTTCTTAGGTGGTGTCAAAAGTGGGTTCACAATTGTTAGACATCTATAGAACTAATATCCAGTAATAATGTATAATACAGCTAGTGGGTTCACAATTGTTAGACATCTATAGAACTAATATCCAGTAATAATGTATAATACAGCTAGTGGGTTCACAATT